CTAAGTTCACATCAGGCAAAGTTTAAATAAAAAAAAAAAAAGAGGAAATTAAGCTATTCCACATCTTAATAATCCTTCCTTTTTATTACTTAATATGTTTCTCACGATAACCTCAGAGGGGCAGTGGGGCAGTAATTATTGTATGTTTTATTAAAATTGGGGAAATTGAAACTCAACAAAAATGACCTGATCCATGTCAGACGGCGATCAAACAGGAGAGGTCCATCAGGTTCTGGAGGCGATGATGATTCTGCTTCATCTTTCTTCCTTCCTCCCTCCTTTTCTTTTCCTCCTGTCCACTCATCATCCACCCATCCATTCATCCAAATCCATCCACCCATCCATCCATCCCTCCCTCCCTCCTTCTTCCTTCTATTCATCCATCCATCACATATTACTCAAAATGTACAAAAGAATGCAGGGACCAGATCCATTACAAACAAATGTGGAAATGAACATCTTTATGGGATGCTCTCTAACACAATTATAATGACTTCATTAGATTTTCTTCTCCTGGGGTCATTTTTATCTTTGTCAGTGACCTGACTACTCCTGAATATTTTTCTTGCACTTATTCGGAAGCATGCATATTTTAATGTAATTCTGTGAGGATTTGCTGCTCACCACAGATGGTGTGAAATAGAGTTTAACATGTGAAGAACTCAAAAGATATGTTAATAGTCCTATGTATTGTAATGAATTTAGAAAAATTATGTGATGACCATATTTCACTGATGATGGTGTTTTAGTGATTCTCACTTAGGGCGAAGCTGTAGTAGGGAGCTCCCCTTTAGATGCCACGAGCAGGTCTCAGCCTTCTCTCTGATCCACCGATGTGGAAAGGAGGCTCTGGTGTGACGCCTCCTCCCTGAAGCCGACAGGGCAGCCCGGCAGGAGTGGGCACGGAGAGGAGAGTGCAGCACAGCTGCTGAAAGTCGGGCGTGGCAAGGGGAGGCCACTGGCCAGGCGGTGCTGACCGTAGACAGCTCCTCTCTCGTACTGAGGCTTCTCGGCCTTTTCTTAAAAATTCCCCCTGTATACGTGCATTTCAAGAGCTTTCTGGATGAAATCTCCAAACTGTGAGAATCATGATTGCAGCCAACTTTGCAAATTAGCATATCTCGCAGACATATTAGCTCATGTGGACAATGCACGCTCATCCTGAGAAGGCGGCTTAAGCTGACATCAGTATTCCACGTGCGGGACAGGAGGAGGCACCTGTGGCCGGCGGCGGAGTCTTTTCTTGGTTCAGATGACCCGGTGGTGAACTCATCTGAAGATCCCGCTAAAGCATTTTGAACGTGATGAAGACACACTTGAAAGACTTGTTAAAAGGTGTGCATGAGTACTGTCCCCAACTCGATGGGAGTGGTGAGTGGGACAAAGAACAAACTCTCATCAGCTCCAGGATGTGGCTAATCGTTATTCAGAAGAGCAGACTCTGGAGGTCGCCTTAAACCCAAGGTTCCTTACATCATCTCCGTTAAGATTTCATTCTTGGCATTCAACCTGACCAAGGTGAGGTGGTTAACTGTTTCTAAGAATGTAAAACTGGAAATTGGTTTTCTTGCTACTAACTTGCATTCAGTCTGAAAACTGGAATCATCTAGAAGACAGAAATGCATCTCAAAGCAGGGATTTTCAAAATGGGGTTCTTAGACCACCAGTCGCCACCACATGTGAGAATTTTTTTAAACTGCAGCTTCTTATTGAGTTCTGCCTCCAAGGTCACAGGTGTGACGTCTTGCACCAAGGCCATAGAAGCAGAGCCTAGAACCACAGTCACCTCCCAAGCTGACTGAGCCCCTCTGTAACCTTGCCAAAAGCCCCCTGATCATCACTAACAAGCTTCCTGACCCCAGATTAGGCAAAGATGCCCAGGCCAGTGCTCACCCTATAGCACCCTAACCAATCACCTAATGCTAATCTTCCAGCAGGAATTTTCTTTGTCTTGAGGCTATAAAAATTGACTCCTAATCCACAAAAACCATTGACTTTCCCTGGTCTGTCAGGGATTGTCAGTCCTCTGTGCTTGCAATGCCCACTTTATCTCTGTTCTTGGTCAACTCACTCCTTTCTGCAATGCTCTGTGTCTGGAAATTCTTTTCCAACCCATACTCACATTGCCTCAACACTTCTTGATCTTTACCCCAGGCCTACAGGACTGGAAATGTGGGCAGGGGTGGAACCAGCTCCACACCTGTTTCCACAAGTCTCCCTGGGGGTAGGTGGGGCTGAGCCTGCCCCTTGGAGAACCTGCAGGAAGCCAAACAGCCCATCATTCATGACTGATGGGGGAGAAGTCTCTGCCTTTCACTGAGGGTATTACTTTACGGTATGTTTTAGGGGCTTATTTAGATTTATCATTACCCGTATTTCATCTAAAAGTTTAACCTTTTAAAATATAAACTATTTTATTTAAATCATGTTCATTTTATAGATGCTTTCTATCTGTGGTGAGCGATCCTTAGTGTTTCATTAATGGTAATAATGACTTCATTTACGAAAAACAGGATTTTGAAAATAAGATTATGTTAGGTCAGTTTGTAATGGTACAGTTGATGTTATTTGTATCTTCCTCTTTCAATGTTTTTGCAGTAAGTATATATTATCTTTGTCATCAGAAAACCATAAATATCCTAAATACAAATAAATCAGTAAGCTCTAGCATATTCTGCAGGGTTGTGGAATAAATCAGTAAGCTCTAGCATGTTCTGCAGGGTGGTGGTAAAGATGGGATGGGATGCTGATGGGAAGCTGGTGTGCTTATTGTTTTTTTCCATTTAGTGTTTGCTGACTTACTGATGGCATTTTAGCATAAAACATGCAACGTGTGACTACAGAGCTCTGTGACTGTGCTTCAAAACCTTGTGGAAATGAGCGTCCCAAAAGCTATGTTGGGCTTCCCTGGTAGCTCAGCAGTAAGGAACCCACCTGCCAGTGCAGGAGACGTGTGTTTGATCCCTGGGTCAGGAAGATCCCCTGGAGAAGGAAATGGCAACCTGCTCCAAGATTCTTGCTTGGGAAATCCCAAGGACAGAGAAGCCTGGAGGGCTACAGTCCACGGGGTCACAAAGGCAGAACTTAGCAACTGAGCACACATGCACACATGGAGGCGATGTTGACAGGATTTTTTAAAAATGTCATTTATTTCTTTTTAAACTTGTATACAGTAAAATTGTTTCCGGTGTTGGACCATTCTGACTTTTGACAAATGCTTGGAGTCATGTCACTACAGTGATTAAGACACAGATTTGTTCCATTGACCCCCAAAAATCCCTCTTGCTGCATCTTTGTCATAAATCTCTTCTTCTACCTATCCCCTGCCAGTTCCCATTCTGTTCTCTGGCCCCATAGTTCTGCTTTTTCCAGAACATTGTATAAATGGAATCATACAGGAATGTACAGTAATGGCCTTTGGGTCTGGCTTCTTTCTCTGACATTTGAGATGCCTCCATTGTGGTTGCATTTATCAGTAGCTGCTTTATTACTATATGGACAGATCAGTTTGTTTTCTAGTTGGGAAACAATTGGAAACAGCAATTATAAGTTGCTCCAAACAATCAGGGTACAGATTTTTTTGTGTGTGTGAACACTGTTTTCATTTTTCTTGGGCAAAAACCTAGAATTGAGGTTGTTGGGTCATATGGTAAGTGCATGTTTAAATTTATCAGAAACCTTGGTTCTCCAAAGTGAGTGAAGTTTTGCATTCCCACGAGTGACATATCAGACTTCCAACTGACCCACATTCCCACCTATAGGTGGTATTATCAGCATTTTTAAAAAAAATTTGGCCCATTCTAACAGCTGTATGCATGCTTGCATGCTAAGTCACTTCAGTCGTGTCTGACTCTTTGCGACCCCATGGACTGTAGCCTGCCAGGCTCCTCTGCCCACGGAATTCTCCAGGCAAGAATACTGGAGTGGGTTGCCAAGCCCTGCTCCAGGGGATTGTTCCAGTCCAGGGATCAAACCCGTGTCTCTCACGTCTCCTGCATTGGCAGGCAGGTTCTTTACCACTAGCCACGTGGGAAGCCCAAGAGCTGTATAGTGATTTTAATTTGTGTTTCCCTGACAGTTAATGATGTTGAGTATCTGCCTGTTTATTTTCATTTCTATGTTGTCTTTGATGAAGTGTGTGTTCAAGTTTCTGGTCCATTTTTACTGAGTTATTTGTTTACTTACAGTTGAGTTTTGAGACATCTTTGTGTATTCTGGTTAGAGGACTTTATCACATATGTAATTTGCAAATACTTTTTCTGAGTTTGGGAATTGTCCTCTCATCCTCTTAAGATAGAGAGTAAAGTGAATTATTTGAGCCCGTGCATGTCCTCTTTGGAAGTATATGAAGACCACTCAAACAAGAACAGAGACCACACTTCGCTCTAGCAAGGGGCTCAGCCACCATCACTTGTGTTTGGCAGAGGCTCAAAGGAGGTGGAGGAGCGGTAGAGCTTTATGGTGGAAAAGGGGGGCCCCAGGTGGGCTCCAGAGGTGAGGCTGTTGGTCTGGGGAAACTGGAGGCAGTTCCCTGGAGACAGAGCATCCCATGTGATGTGGCTGTGGGGGGTTTGACTTCCTGGGTTGGCCACAGCGGGGGTCATGGGTCAGATTTCCAGTCATCTGGCCCTTGTCTGTCTGCATGTTCAGCCTCTCACTTTATTTAGGGCAACCAGTGTACATTCTGTTGCTAAGAGTATACAAGCCTTGAATAAGCAGGATGCGCCCGGGCAGGTACGCACCATGGTCTGAGAATCACTGCAGGCAGGCAGGGCTGGCCGGGGCTGTGCAGAACCCGGCTTCTCTGGGGACTATTTGGGCTTGATGGTGAGCGACAGGACCCAGAGGGATCAGGGCGGTGTGAGAGCATCCCTGTCAGTACTTTGGCGGCCGGGAGCACCCGCTGCTGGCCCTGGGGGAGCCCGAGAGCCTGGGGCACCGTGCCCCGGACCAGTGTACGGCAGCCCCGGTCTGGTCTTGCCGCCTGAGCAGCGGGTCAGATGCTTGCCTTGTCTTCCCTGAGCCCATGTCAGCTGGGCATGCGGTCCCTGATCTTGCTTTTGTGCTGTCGCTTCAGCCTCTGTCTGAGTGCCCGGGGCGAGCTCAGCCTTGCCCAGCTCAGGACGGGATCCTGGGGAGGGGTGCGCAGGGACCCCGACTCCAGCGGCCGTGGCCGGGCCCTCGCTGCTGTCCAGCCTGCGGCCGGTCTGCAGCCAGAGGCCCTGTCCCCTCTGCCCACCGGGCCGCGACCACCTCTGGCTAGAGCCCCTCAGTGTTTGGCCGAGGGAAGCGGGCACTGGCAGCTGGCAATCAGTGCTGCAGAAGTGATGGCCTTTCTGCATTTGAAACGGCGTCTTTCAGCTTCAGGGACTCGGGTGTCAGCGCAGATCCGTGGGACTGAAGGCTGCCAGGGTGTGGCAGGAAGACCGAAAGGTGAGCCAGGCTTTCCGAAAGGGCTAGGGGCAGAGCAGGGGACCTTGGCCAGGGCCCTTTTCTTCTTCTCTGCCCCTCAGGGTCATCGCAGCCACCTCTGTGTCTCTTCTGAGTATCACTTCTTCAGGGAGTATTTGGGAGCACGTGGGTGGATTACAGGTAAATGAAGGAAAGTCTGACTCGATTCAGTTCAGTTCAGTTCAGTCGCTCAGTCGTGTCCGACTCTTTGCGACCCCATGGACTATAGCACGCCAGGCCTCCCTGTCCATCACCAACTCCCAGAGTTTGCTCAAACCCATGTCCATCGAGTCGGTGATGCCATCCAGCCATCTCATCCTCTGTCGTCCCCTTCTCCTCTGGCCCCCAACCCCTCCCAGCATCAGGGTCTTTTCCAGTGAGTCAACTCTTCACATGAGCTGGCCAAAGTATTGGAGTTTCAGCTTCAGCATCAGTCCTTCCAATGAACAACCAGGACTGATCTCCTTTAGGATGGACTGGTTGTATCTCCTTGCAGTCCAAGGGACTCTCAAGAGTCTTCTCCAACACCACAGTTCAAAAGCATCAATTCTTCGGTGCTCAGCTTTCTTTATAGTCCAACTCTCACATCCATATATGACTGCTGGAAAAACCATAGTTTTTGACTAGACAGACCTTTGTTGATAAAGTAATGTCTCTGCTTTTTAATATGCTATCTAGGTTTGTCATAACTTTCCTTCCAAGGAGTAAGCGTCTTTTAATTTCATGGCTGCAGTCACCATCTGGAGTGATTTTGGAGCCTAAGAAAATAAAGTCTGCCACTGTTTCCACTGTTTCCCCATCTATTTTCCACGAAGTGATGGGACTGGATGCCTTGACCTTTGATTTCTGGATGTTGAGCTTTAAGCCAGCTTTTTCACCCTCCTCTTTCACTTTCATCAAGAGGCTCTTTAGTTATTCACTTTCCGCCTTAAGGGTTGTGTCTTCTGCATATCTGAGGTTGTTGTTATTTCTCCCAGCAATCTTGATTCCAGCCTGTGCTTCATCCAGCCCAGTGTTTTTCGTGATGTATTCTGCATAGAAGTTAAAAAAGCAGGGTGACAATATACAGTCTTGATGTTCTCCTGACTGTTGCCTGAATTTTAGGGGCATACTTCTTTAGCTTAAAACTTTGCCACCCTCCAAAATGTAAATGCATTTGGGAAAATGTAAGCTATTTACACCATAGTATGAAGGAGCTTCAAAACTTTTCCCAAGGCAGTTTTCCATGGCTGAAGCCTGTGGAGGAGATCAGGAGGTGGGTCAGGGAAGGAGGAGGAGGAGGCTGGCCAGGTCTGAGACCTCAGATCATAGATTTCCCTGCCTGGATGATTCGTCCAGGTCCCCTTGGGGCCACGGGCCAGCCGGAGAGGACTGGGAGGGGAAACTTCAGATGTTTGGGACTCTGAGCCTCTTTAGAAAAGGGACCTTTGTTTGTTTCTTCTAACCAAACCCCGCTTTTGGGGAGAAAGGGAGGAGGAGGCCCGCCAACTTCTGCTGCCTGGTCAGTGTGTGAAATACTGAATCTGGGACACCGCCTCTTTCCCTTCCTTAAGTCTAAGCTTCCTTCACAGTCCACCACTCACGGTCCTTCCGCTGTTTTCCTTGGCCTGCACCACTGTTCACTGGAACATCTTCAAGTCCACACTTTGTTGGTCTTAAAGATTGCTAGCCATGGTGCAAAGAATTCAAGAGAAAAACTCACTCCTTGTGACTGAGATCTCATCCCCTTGCATTTATTGTGATTTATTTCATGCTAAAGCCCCGATGCTGGGAAGGACGGGGGGCAGGAGGAGAAGGGGGCGACAGAGCATGAGATGGTTGGATGGTATCACCGACTCAGTGGACACGCGTTTGAGCAAACTCCGGGAGATGGTGAAGGACAGGGAAGCCTGGCATGCTTGCAGATCATGGGGTCGCAAGGAGTCAGACATGCCTTAGTTACTGAACAGCAACAGCAACAGAATTTTTACAAGGGACTTACAGAGCAGAATCCCGTGGACACTTTGTCCTCCTGTTGTAATTCTTGTTGGGGAGTGAGTCCTGGGGCCAGAAGCTGGTCAAAGCCAACACAATGATGAGCTTGCCTTAACTCAAGGCCAGCTGGCGGTGAGAGGCAGGACGCGTGATCCAGAGCTCTTTGCCCGCGTGCGGTGCCTCATCTGTGGTGGAGGCGATACTGCCAGAGTTCTCAGGCCGGCCGGGGCTGTGTGTGCACCCTGCTCCTTCAAAGACAACCTTGATGGAGTTTATTTGAGGGGGAAGGAAAAGATGAGTCAAGTGATGAGACCTCGACCCTAAGAGACAGACCCTCTGAAATGCCAGCTCTGCCAGCTTCTGACTTGTGTCTCCTGTGGGCAAGTGGGGTGGACTGTCTTTTCCCTGCAAAGTGGCCACTGCAGTCACCATGTCAAATGTAAATTCCCTGGTGGCTTGGATGGTCCAGCATCTGGCTGCAATGTGGGAGACCTGGGTTCAATCCCTGGGTCGGGAAGATCCTCTGGAGAAGGAAATGGCAACCCACTCCAGTACCCTTGCCTGGAAAATCCCATGGATGGAAGAGCCTGGTATGCTACAGTCCATGGGGTCGCTAAGAGTTGGACATGACTGAGCGACTTCACTCTCCTTCTGAGAAAATGTCCCTGTTGTTCCAGAATCTCCAGAATCTCTGGTTCTGGAGAGCAGAGCTGGATTTCATAGGCAAAATGTTTCGGGTGGTGTCGAAATGCTGCTCGAAAGTGCCACTTAGGGGAGAAGTCTGCTCTGGGGCCTCTAACGGGACTTCTGCTCATCGCTGGTGGCCCACACGGGATGCCAGGAGGGGCCTGGGGTCCCTGGGGAGGCAGCTCTCGGGAGATGCTCCTCTCCTGTCCAGTGATCCCGAGCTGGGGGGCCGGGCAGACTCTGGGCAGGGGTCCCCGGACACACATCCGCTCCCTCTGCAGGCTGTCAGCTGCCTCTGCCGCTCCATCCCACCCAGAGCCCTTGGCCCGACACCAGGTCCTCGGCCCAGGGCCCTGACTGTGTCGTCACTGAGTCCCTTGCTGGGAACAGGTGTGCACCGGGCTTGGCTCCAGGCGGTTCCCTTCCCATCTCCCTGAATGACCCTGCTTGCCGAAGGTTGCTGCCCCAGGAAAGCAGTGTTAATGCCGACAGGAGGAGTCCCTGCGAGGGCTGTGGCAGGAGAAAACAGGCTGGGCCCACCTCGCTGCCAGCCAGGGACCCCCATCACAGTTTAGAGAAAGAAAGCCTGTAATAGCTCAGGGCCGGCAGGTGGCCCCTTTAAAGACCCTTGGCGGCTTCCCTGCATCCTGGCAGGAGGGCATCAGTCGTGTCCGACTCTTTGTGACCCCATGGACGGTAGCCCTCTGGCTCCACTGTCCACGGGGTTCTCCACGCAAGAATACTTGAGTGGGTTGCCTGCCCTCCTCCAAGGGATCTTCCTGAACCAGGGATCGAACCCACATCTCTTACATCTCCTGCACTGGCAGGCGGGTTCTTTACCACTAGCGTCACCTGCGAAGCCCAGCGGGAGGCACTGCCTGCCCTGGATTCACAGCTTGACCACAGGGTGAGTGGGTAGCAGGTAAAGGCCTCACATCTTCCCTTTTCTCATCTCCTCCTTTCCTACAGAGGAGGGCGTATTTGTTGTTCTTTGTTACCGTTGCTCTTAATTGTTTACACACAGGGGTCTCTCTATTTGGGGCTGACCCATCCCAAGGCCAACCCGGCAGGCAGAGGGTGGCTGCCTTGGTCTCCGTGCCTGTCAGAGGGCAGTGTGGTGCAGTAGAGACACGGCCTCCGTGCATCAAACCCGAGACCTTGGACTTTGCGGATGCCCTGCGCATGCGCACATGGTCTCCTTGCCCTGGAGCCCTTCTGTTCGGCGGGATGGCTCCTTTGACTGCCAGATTCAAGAAGGAAAGGCCCATAACATTCACAAATGCATAGTCGCATGTGTCATTTTTGCTCAGCTGCAGCTCAGAGTGACCGAAATGTGGGCACTGGGGCCCGTCTTTGCTGTTTGTTTACGGCTCAGAGGGGCCCAGATTTCCAGTGCAGGGAATCATCCCAGTTCCACGAATGGAGCAAGGGGCTGGGATTTTGGTAAAGAAAATGCATGCTTAGTCACTCACTCATGTCTGACTCTTTGCAGCCCTGTGGACTGTAGCCCACCAGGCTCCTCTGTCCATGGGGTTTTTTCAGGCATGAATACTGGAGTAGGTTGCCGTTTCCTTCTCCAGGGCATATTCCAGACCCAGGGATCAAACCTGCAACTCCGTTGTCTCCTGCATTGCAGGTGGATTCTTTTACCTGCTGAGCCATTAGGGAAGCCCATTGAATTTATAAAAAGTTATGTTTTCTTTTAGCCAGGACACTTTCTCTGTACATATCGGTGAGGGCGGTGGTATTAACAAAGATATGTAACAAAGAGAGCCCAGCCTTCAGTAGGTGGCTATTTCTTTGGACAGTTTCTTTTCTCAGCCTTTTACGTTCTGAATTAGAAAATCTTAATCTACAGTTTTGGACTTTCCTAGTGGCTCAGTGGTAAAGTGCCCACCTGCTAATGCTGGTGACTTGGGTTCGACCGCTAGGTTGCCAAGATCTTCAGAGAAGGAACTGGCACCCCACTCTAGCATTCTTGCCTGGGGAATCCCATCACAGAGGAGCCTGGAGGGTCCATGGGGTCCATGGTGTCGCGAATTGTCAGATACGATTTAGCAACTGAGAATGCGTGCACATAACCTACAATTTCAGTCGTTGGGAATGAGCTGTTCACTGCTCCTGGTTAGGATTAGGTCGTATTAATACCTTCACTTGTAACATGGGCTTCCCTGGTGGCTCAGATGGCAGAGTCCGCCTGCCATGCGGGAGACCTGGGTTCGATCCCTGGGTTGGGAAGATCTTCTCGAGAAGGGAAAGGCAACCCACTCCAGTATTCTTGTCTGGAGAATCCCATGGACAGAGGAGCCTGGTGGGCTACAGTCCACAGGGCTGCAAAGAGTCAGACACGACTGAGCGACTGACACACGTGTAACATGGACCAGTGATGTCAGGAGCTTCCCTGATAGGTCTGTTCATCACGTGGAGTGTGGGTTCTCACAGCTGAAGAAAAGTGAGTTTTTTCTCCCTGAGGACTCCCAGGTTCTCTAGACGCTGGGTCCCTGAGCTAGTGTCTCGCACAGTACAGCCATACCTCATAGTATAATGCTTCACTCTTTCGGACTTTGCAGATACTGTGTTTTTTACAAATTGAAGATTGTAGCAATCCTGCATTCAACAAGGCCACTGGCGCCTTTTCCCTAACAGCATTATTTTAAAATGAAAGTACGTCCATTGTTGTTTTAGACAAAAGGCCCACTTAATAGACTACAGTATAGTAGTGGGAAACCAAAAAATTTGTGTGACTAGCTTTGTTGCAACATTTGCTTTATTGTGCTGGTATGGAACCAAATCTGCAATGCCTCCGAGGTATTCCTGTAGATTAAATGCTCCAGTTTGGGGAAAATAGTGGTGAAACCCAGTATTTGGTTGCTTTTGGATCTGAAAAGTATTTTGTCATGTTGTTTCTATATTTACATGTGGTTTTAAAATATGCCCCCTAAAATATGTCATTAATTTCTTTTGCTCATAATGCAAAAAAGCATCAAGTGTTTGGAAACACTCAAATTTCTGACAAATAAACTGTTTATTTTACAGTTTGGTCTTATTGGGAAATTTTAACCTTTTTTTTTTTTTAATAACATGTGGAATTTTAGTCCTAAAGCAATAAGCTTGAGCTATTTAAAATACTGAGTATATCCCTATGTTTTGTTAGGTCATTTCAGTAAGCTTTTAAAAAGCAAACAGTGGTTTTTAATGGCATTTTACTATCACAAAGAAAGTTTTTTTTTTTTTATTTCAACTATCATTTGGAAAACTCACATGAAGAGCTTACTGTCTGCTAGTGTGGGAAAACAGGACCCTGCTGTCCATTTCTTTGCATAACACAAATAGTATACTTCTGTGATTTGGTAATATTCATGATTTTTATTATTTTCTTCAAGCTGGAATCAAGACAGAGGCCCCCAGTTTCCTAGGAGTGAACAGTGTATATAAATCAGTCTTCAGATGTGACCTCTTGTTCACCCCAGCAGAGTGGGCGTCCACACTCCTCCTCTGGTCTGTATCACTGCTCACCAGGTAATTATTGCATAAATGGAAAATCTCTTTTCCTGCAGTAAGAGTTCTCAGGATGTCCCTGCTGACTCCAAGTTGTCAATGGAATATGGTGTCTTCTGGGACAGCTGCTGTCCAGCGCATCTCTCACGCGGATGCAGAGCTGGTTTGGCCCAACCATGCGGCGAGCCGCCTGTGAAACTGCACAGGTGAGGGTGTGCTCGGCCGCTCAGCCGTGTGCTGCTCCCCGTGGCCCTGTGGACTGTAGTCTGCCAGGTTCCTCTGTTCATGAGACTTTTTCTGCAAGAGTACTGGAGTGGGTTACCATTTTCCTCCTCCAGGGCATCTTTTGGACATGGGGATCAGACCCGCATCTCCTGTGTCTCCTTCATTGCATGAGGATTCTTTACCCACTGAGCCACGAGAAAAGCCCACAGGTGAGGGTAACCACCTTTAATATCAGTGACATTCCAGAGTGATGTCACCACTTTCACCTATTGCTGCTTCTCATAATGTCTAACTAGTGGCCAGATTTACACGTTTCTCAGTAAGTGCAGCATGACCTATTTTTGCAAGGAAACCTCTGATTTTGAATGCTGTTTCTGCAGTTTTGGTCCCTTTTCACAGCCCCCCCCCCCCCCACGGTGCGCCACCCCCCACCGCCGCGTCCCCCCCCCCCCCACTGCCGGATGCCTTCTTGCCATTAATTGCAATCATTTTATCAAAGACCTTAGATGGGCAGATCGGCAGATCAATTCAGATAACCCTCATCTTACTTTATAATAGTTCTTGATTATTTTGGATGCTTGCTAGCAATCATCTGTTGCAGATTCACTGTTTATAACATATGCTTATGTTGAAGTCTGCTTATTATCAACAATTATTGTGCTGAAATAGGTTATTATTTTCTTTTTAAAAGTTTAAACAAAGATAGATGTTAAAATTACTCTTTATTTTAAAAGCAGAATGAAGTTACTTTTCATTTAGTGAATATTAACACATAATTATGAAGATTATTTTGAATTTTGGGGCCATTGATATATTTTGGGTGTTGGGGAGACAATACATCATAATTGTAGCAATAAATATCCATGTGAAAATGTAAGCAGCACAGAAATATTTTGAAAATGTCCTGGGTGGGATATGTGGCTCCGTTTCCTGAATGTTAGCTGAGAACTGACCAGGGAGATTCTTCTAGTGCGAGCACTTTAAGAAAACACCGATAAGTAAGAACTTAAGGAGATTTCCGA